AACCAAATGTCAGGAAACTGCTGGCAGCTGATCACCGGCCTGCCGAAGCCAGAGCCTCCTTCCCACTCTTCGCAGTGTGTCCTCTACGAGGCCAGGGGCAGAGGAGCTGGTACACCAAGAGCCTGTCACGGTGGCTCTTGGACTAAGAATGCCTTCCTGCCCTTTTACCAGACTTCATCTGTTTTATTTTTTGGAGGTGGGGCCTTGCTATGTTGCTGAGGCTGGTCTTAAACTCCTGGCATCAAGCGATCCTCTCACCTCGGCCTCCCGAGCAGCGGGGATTCCAGCTGCGTGCTACAGTGCCTGGCTTTGTCTAGTTTTCATGGAGGTGGATTATGATGCCAACTGAGACGTATCTAACTTTCCTGAATGTCTGCTGAAAAAAACCTGCCATTGAAAGAGCTTCATAAAGTCACAGAACATTTCAGGTGAAAGGGACCCTGGGAATGGCTACGTAGCCAGGCTCCAGGAAGCCTCCGACTTGCACCCTGGGGCCTTTCCTTTCTCTCAGCCTCTCCGTTTCTCATGATTCACTCGTCTGACGTCGCATTTACCCAGCCGTGGGTAGGTCCAGCGTGCTCAGGTGATGTTTTAAAAAAACATGTCAGATGAACACATGGATGATCACAGTGACCATGTACTGAGCAGAAACGATGGGCTGGGCACTGAGCTCAGTGTTTCATGTATTTTATCCTCAGTTTTTATGAAAAACAAGGAATTGAAGTATTGAGTGATTTCATAGATGGAGGAGCCTGAGATTCCCAGAGGTGAAGCAATTTGCTTAAAGGAATGCATGCATTCAACAAGTAGGTACTGAGCTGGTATTGTCTGCCAAGCTCTGCACGGTGCTGTGGACACAGGCAGTGAGCCAGTCAGCCCCTGTTCTTACGCCAGTCATGTAGAAGGTAGAAGAGTGAAGTGGGGACGGCATTGTTAGAGGCCCTGAACTGGCAACAACGGGGGCACTTTTGGTTTTTCTCAACACGGAATGTGATACGATTAGTCTAACGTTTCAAAACTTCCATCTGGTGGCCTGGTGGGGGATGCAGAGTAGAACGAGGTGAGCCAGTCAAAAGATGCCACAGTCCCAGCCACAGGCGGAAATAGGGATGGGGAAGAGAGAGAAAGATGGAAATGCATTTCCTAGTAACTGCTTAATTCATAAAATGACAATAATTCCAGGACTTGTAAGCATAGGAGGACAAATAGATAAATTTTGGGGCTGGGCGCGGTGGCTCACATCTGTAATCCCAGCACTTTGGGAGGCCGAGGCAGGTGGATCACGAGGTCAGGAGATTGAGACCACCCTGGCTAACATGGTGAAACCCCATCTCTACTAAAAATACAAAAAATTAGCCGGGCGTGGTGGTGGGTGCCTGTAGTCCCAGCTACTCGGGAGGCTGAGGCAGGAGAATGGCGTGAACCCGCGAGGTGGAGCTTGCAGTGAGCAGAGAGCACACCACTGCACTCCAGCCTGGGCGACAGAGCAAGACTCTATCTCAAAAAAAAGACAGAGATACATTTTGGTCAGGGGCCTTTGCGCGTGTCTCAGATCACATTACTTAGGTGGCTGTGTACTGAGCTGACCTGCCCAATGCTAAACGCGTCACTCAACGCCACTCAATAGGCATTGCAGGGTTAGGCGGGCGGACCCGGCCAGCCAGGCTGCAATCCTTGTCATATTAATATGAAAGGCAATGGAGAGACTTTGGCCCAAAACCCCCCCAAAACCTTTCCAGCCGGCAAGCACCTGCAGAGGGCCTTCCCTCCCCTGCCTCCACAAGCAAGGCCCTCACAGCAGCTCTGTCCTGCATTCTGGGGCACGGCTGACCCAGCTGCACTGTGTGGAGGGGCTGGGATTTGAACTCCGCTTTCAGTGGCTCCCGGGAGCTCTGTCCTGTGGGCTCAGCAGCACTGCACTTCCGGCCAGTCCCGCTCAGCCCTTCATCTCCCTGGAGCAGAGAGCAGCAGCTGCAGAGACTCAGCTTGGCAGGCTCGGTCTCTCGGGCCTTTGTCCAGCTCCTTTTTTCTGCCTGAAACTTTGCAGCTGTACCAAAATAACTGAAAACGGTCACTGCTGCCCCTTTATTTTTGTAAGAGCTCCTCCCCTCTCCCCTTTCCCCTGCAAAGAACTGGATGACAGCTTTAAAATCTTGTGGACAGAGGATGTTCTGTTAATACTGAAGCAAAAGTCGTCCACTAAGCAGTTTGATAGGAATCCATGTGTCTAATGAGATGCTGTGGATCCAGTATTCCTGCTGCTCCCTGAGTGTCCAACTGGGCTTCCAAGGAAGTGCCCAAGAGGAGGGTTTACCGCAGTGTCGAATCACGAATCACGAGCACAATCGCAGCTCTTTATCAGGAGCCACGGGAGGGTTCAGATCTTTGGGGGAAGGGATAGGGGAAGGCCTGTGGGACAGGGAACCAGCAGAGTTGGGTCAGCGGCTGTCTCTGCTCCCAGCGCGCTGTGTGGCTCTGAGCAAGCCACACGAGCTCTCTGAGCTTCTGCTCTCCTTTGTAAATGGAGGGGTTTGGGCCAAAGTCTCGCAATTGCCTTTCATGTTAATGTTTAATTGTTTTTCAAGGAAGAATTTCTATTTCCTCCACTGACCTAGAGCATTTAAAAAAAAAAAAAAAAAGAGTAGTTCCCTTCTTGTTGGCTAATTCTCGCTTTCTATTTTTAATCCCTAACTCCTGTACTTAATCCCTAATTCCCACTTTCTGTTTTTAATCCCTAACTCCTGTACTTAATCTCTAATTCCCACTTTCTGTTTTTAATCCCTAACTCCTATACTTAATCCCTAATTCCCACTTTCTGTTTTTAATCCCTAACTCCTATATTTAATCCCTATTTCCCGCCTTCTATTTTTAATTCCTAACTCCTGTATTTAATCCCTAATTCCCACTTTCTGTTTTTAATCGCTGACTCTCAAGGGCTGATGTGAGGCAGTCCCACCTTCCAGGAGCTCCAAGAAAGGCAGAGGTCAACGGGGCCCAGCACTGGGGCACCAACACATTCCCTCTCCCCATTCCATGCTACAGCTGTTTCCTCTGACAGCATTTCAGCAGGGTGGCTGCCCTTTCAGCTCTCGCCTTATTTAGGGAGGGAAGGGAGGGTAGTGGAAAAATATCAGTACCAACTGGCCTGCTTCTGTGACTCAAATTTGACCAAGTTCAGGGAGCTTGGAATGCATCAGGCTCCTCGGTCACGGGTTCCCTTATGGTGATGGCCTTCCCTCCTAACTCAACCCCATAGGCAGCTGTTTCAACAGGACCCCTCCGCAAGACTCCTTCAAGCACATGAGGCCTTCACTGCTGTCTGCCCAGACAACTTCGTTGTGTCCCCCAGAAATCGGTATCATGAACTTCCTGGATCACACTGTGAAAGCTGCTGAGGAGTGGAGACTTTGCCCATCTTTCCTTCAAGACAGTGCACGCCGCAGCGCCTCTCATCTGCCCCTGCAATCCATCCCTCCTCCCGACCACCATGGCCCACCCTCTGTACTATCCTCGTGGCATGAGCTCACACCGCTGGGACGTGAGATCTGTTGAATACATTTGTGTGTATAGCCCCATTTAGGCGCTGTGGGGCAGGAACTGAACGAGGCATCTTTTGGCATCTCAAAATAAAACCCGACACGTTGGACATAATGGGTGCTTAATAAGGGGTGGGGGTGACTAGAATGACTATTCAAATAGAAGGAATGATGGGCTCACACTGCGGGGAGCTGAGTGAGCCGCAACAATACACACGCAAAATGACAGCCCATTCCTAATTCTTCAAAAACGCAGCTCATCAAGTTTACTTCCTAGGAAGAGCTGCACGGTTCTTCTGAACCTGACAGTCTAGAAAGCATTCTGGATGGAAACTCTCACCATGTCTTCATGGAGACCACCCCACAATGCTGGCTCCCCCCGGCCCACTGAGGTTCCTATGATCCTCTCATGGCCTCTTGGGCTTTCCCTCCTATCGCCGACCAGAGCCAGTTATTACATACATGTTTCTGTGATAACCGGTTTGTATTTATCTTTTGCTATCAGACTGGAAGCCACGGGGGGCCAGGGCTATTGTGGTCACCAAAAGGCAGCTGCTCAAATCTTACTTATTGGATGAAAGACTGACCGGGGAGATGGTCAGTGTGTTAGATTGGATTTGAAACTTCGGTTTGAGAAATGTAATTGGTATAGTTCGGATATTTCTCCCCTCCAAATCTCATGTTGAAATGTGATCCCAGTGTGGGGGGCCAGCCTGGTGGGAGGTGCTTGGACCATGGCAGTGGATCCTGCATGAATGGTTTGCTGCCTGCCCTGTAGTAATGAGGGAGTTCTCAGACCAGTAGTTCCTGCGAGATCTGATGGTTTAAAGGACTCTGGCACCTGCTCCTCTCTCTCCTGCCATGTGACACACCAGCGTCGCCTCTGCCCTTGCCATAAGTAAAAGCTTCCTGAGGCCTCATCGCAAGCTGTGCAGACACTGGCACCATACTTGTACAGCCTGCAGAACCATGAGCCGGATAAACCTCTCTCTTTATAAATTACCCAGCCTCAGGCATTCCTTTGGCAGCAACAGGAAAGTGCCTAACACGGTGACGGTGACGTCATAAGGAAGCTTAGTTTTATCACTTTGCCCAAGGGAAAGAACTGGCCTTAGTTCTGTAAAGATTTTCCCATAATCCTTTGTTTACCAGCAGCCCCTGCGTATGTTGTCCTTTAAAAACACTTCCAGGGGATTTGGGGGAACTTCAGAGGATCAAAGGGAAATATGTGCTTTCCTTGAAAGAACCTTAGAGATCATCTCAAACGCCTACAAAGTCTTGTATGAATAAGAGGTAAAAATGCAAACATTTAATACATTGAATACATTGAAATTTGAATGATTTCAAGTCCAATGCAAAAGAGCTCCAATTAATGAGCCTTGGAGGAACTGGGTACCGACACTGCAGGGGAAAAGGAAACCCGCTTGGGTGCACACTGCTCGTCTCTGGGAAGCACAGTCTTACCGCACGTGGGAACATCTTCCTCAGCCGAGGAGGTCTGCTCGTCTGTGGATGGCTTCTTCTTTCCCAGACTGATGATCTTGGTGATTTTTTTCCCAGTGACTTTCGACACGGTGCCCTTGGCCTCGGATTTGGAACTTTTCTTCCTCTTCACTGTCGAGAATAACAACAGCAAAAAAGCATGTTTTAATTGTAGATATTAATTGAAAAAATAAAACATAAATCACAACCCATTTCTTCTTTCCCTGGGCATTTTTTTCTTGTTTTAAAGACAGGGTCTCACTCTGTCCCTTGGCTGGAGTGCTGTGTTGTGATCACAGCTCATTGCAGCCTTGAGCTCCTGGGCACAGCTGATCCTCCCATCTTGGCCTCCGGAGTAGCTGGGACCACAGGTGAGTGCCACTACGCCTGGTTAATTTTTATACTTTTTGTAGAAATGGGGTTTCACCATGTTGCCCAGGCTGGTCTCAAACTCCCGGGCTCAAGTGATCCACCCACCTTGGCCTCCCGAAGTGCTGGGATTATAGGTGTGAGCCACTGCGCTTAGCCTTTCCCTCGACTTGTACTTAACGAGCACTTGCCGTGTGCTGGCTGTCGGTCTAGATGCTGAGATTCCAGCAGAACACAGGGCTGCTGGTAAGAAGCTTGTAACAAAGACCACATGGAGATCTAAGATAGGGTTATGTGGAAAAGCAGCTGGGCGGGCAGAGAAAGCCTGTCCAGGGGTTGACTTAAATTAATAACTAGCCATGCACATCTCAGAGAGAAGAACCGTCCAGGAAAGAAAAACATCATTGACGCAAAAGCCAGCCCCAAGTGTCTGAGGAACAGAAGGCAGCTAGAGCAGCTCCGGCCCGGCTGGCAAGGGGAGGCCCAGGAAGGGAAGGGGATTGGCTCTTTTTCAGGAGCCCCTCGTCCATCTGTGAGACACTCACTCGGCTCGGCACCGTCCAGAGCTCTCAGACCAGGGGCCTGCCTTCCAGCCCCTCATGTATAAAACTCATACACATTCTGCATAAAATTGATGCCTGGCTTCCTTTGAAAGATGGAAAGATCTAGCAACTCTGGACTTGCATGTGGGCAAGCAACAGCGGCAGGACCACAGAAGCAGTCTCCACGCAGATGGGCCAGCAAGGGACAACACGGGGCAGTTCTCATCACTCCCCACCGTCTCCCACCACGGAGGTCCAGGGTCAGCTGCCAGCTGGCATCCTTTGTCTGCCCCATCCCATCACTGGCACCTCTCTCCACTGCCGAGGGCTCTGTCCGTGACCTCCGACGGAATTACAGGGGCAGGGATCAGACAAGACATCAGAACGTGCATGTGAGACAGCACCAGGACCGAGTGACAAGACTCTTTGGCCAGAGAGCAACCCTCGGAGAAGGTGAGCTGTCTGCCCGTCTCATCTGAGGGCCATTATGTGCACGGCACTGGAGCTGAGGGGAGGCCAGTGAGACACTTGGGACTCAGTTGCACTGCGGGGCTCACTGGAGCTGAGGGGACAGAGAGACCCTCAGTGTCACGGGCAAAACCCCACCGCCCAGACCCTTTCCCCTTCATCTCCAACATGAGTCCCTCAACCTGCTGTCTGCAACCCTTTGGAGATCACAAACCCTTTCAGAAGGTGATGAGAGTCAAGGACTCCTTCCCACCCTCCTACCCCAGGGACAAATGAACCCACACACATCCCGCGGGAGAACTGCAGAGGAAGAGCGGCCAGGGACACAAGACGACACACCTTGGCCTAACTCCTAAACCCTTCCTCTAAAGACGCACACACTCACACAGGCAGTCCCCTCATCCTTCCCAACCTCCGTCTCTCTCTGCGGGGGAACGGGCAGTGGTCCTCCTTCAACCTCCACCCCGCTGCCCCCACCACAGCCAAACACATGAGGGCGGCAGGACATACCCCTGTGTCTCCTGCCCCGGGCCTTGCCCCCCATGCTCCACCCTCCCGCTTAGGTCCTGGTCCTATAGCGTTAGTGTCCCTCTAAGAAGAGACTGCACGGGCACAGAAGAAAGGCTGTGTGAAGGCTGTGGGAGGGGAGCCGACTTTGAGAAGACAGCCCTCACCAGGCACCAACCCTGGCGACACCTGGGTCTTGGACTTGCAGCCTCCAGGACCATCTGAATGCATGTTGTTTCAGCCACCCAGTCTGTGGTATTCTGTGATGGCAGCCCAAACTGACTAACAACACAGTCCCACCATTTCTGTGTTATTTTAAACAAATCAGACTTAGGCCTCATGCGATATTAGAAACAAAGAACCCAGGAATGCCACCTCCACCCCTCCTTCCACTCTCCCAACATGTACACACCCTGTTTTAAAATAAAGTGTCGAGACTCGCTTTCGATCCCTGAGTCTGAGGACGCAGCACTTCCCAGCTACCATCAGACAGGGAGCGTGCGGCTGGGACAGCTGTTATCACTGCAGTGTCACTTCAACCAAACCAAGAGCCAGAAGACAATGTTTCACCACAGCCCCGTTCCCGTGAGCTTCACAAAGAATAACCTGCTGCCAGGACAGCCCGAGTGCCCGGGGCACCCTGAGCAAGGCTGGTGGAGCAAGAGGCATCCCCCTCAGACAATGCAGGCCCCCAACAATGCGCCCCCCAGACAATGCGGCCCCCACAGACAATGCAGGCCCCCCACAATGCGCCCCCCAGACAATGCAGCCCCCACAGACAATGCGGCCCCCCCAGACAATGCGGCCCCCCCGCACAATGCGGCCCACAGACAATGCGGCCCCCACAGACAATGCGGCCCCCCACACACAATGCGGCCCACAGACAATGCGGCCTCCACAGACAATGCGGCCCCCACAGACAATGCGGCCCCCCCCAGACAATGCGGCCCCCCCAGACAATGCGGCCCCCCCGCACAATGCGGCCCCCACAGACAATGCGGCCCCCCCACACAATGCGGCCCCCACAGACAATGCGGCCCCCACAGACAATGCGGCCCCCACACACAATGCGGCCCCCACAGACAATGCGGCCCCCACAGACAATGCGGCCCCCACACAATGCGGCCCCCACAGACAATGCGGCCCCCACAGACAATGCGGCCCACCTGCACAATGCGGCCCACACAGACAATGCGGCCCCCCCCACATGCGGCCCCCACAGACAATGCGGCCCCCACAGATAATGCGGCCCCCACACACAATGCGGCCCCCACAGACAATGCGGCCCCCACAGACAATGCGGCCCCCACAGATAATGCGGCCCCCACACACAATGCGGCCCCCCCACACAATGCGGCCCACAGACAATGCGGCCCCCCCGCACAATGCGGCCCCCCCGCACAATGCGGCCCACAGACAATGCGGCCCCCCCGCACAATGCGGCCCACAGACAATGCGGCCCCCACAGACAATGCGGCCCACAGACAATGCAGCCTCCACAGACAATGCGGCCCACAGACAATGCGGCCCCCCCGCACAATGCGGCCCACAGACAATGCAGCCTCCACAGACAATGCGGCCCACAGACAATGCGGCCCCCCCGCACAATGCGGCCCACAGACAATGCGGCCCCCCACACACAATGCGGCCCACAGACAATGCAGCCTCCACAGACAATGCGGCCCACAGACAATGCGGCCCCCCCGCACAATGCGGCCCACAGACAATGCGGCCCCCCACACACAATGCGGCCCACAGACAATGCAGCCTCCACAGACAATGCGGCCCCCACAGACAATGCGGCCCCCACAGACAATGCGGCCCCCCCACACAATGCGGCCCCCACAGACAATGCAGCCCCCACAGACAATGCGGCCCCCCCAGACAATGCGGCCCCCCCACACAATGCGGCCCCCCCCACACAATGCGGCCCCCCCAGACAATGCGGCCCCCCCACACAATGCGGCCCCCCCGCACAATGCGGCCCCCACAGACAATGCGGCCCCCACAGACAATGCGGCCCCCACAGACAATGCAGCCCACCGCGGCGAGCTGGGGTGTCAGATGAACGCCCAACTCGACCGACAAAGTGCTTGCTCGACTCTGACTACAAAGAAATGAGATTATAATTAAAACTGGGAATTCCTTGAATACTCCCTGATTCGTTTTTTACAAAGGCAGACGTACGGTAATCCTGGGGAGAAAAAGCCCAAGTACATGGGAACGTGAGGAGAAAACCATCAAGAACAACTTGTTGCTACGAATCAAACAAAAGGCAGAGATGAGCAGAGATCACGGAACCGGGAAGAAAACCTCAGCACGCCGAGCGCCCACCCTCTGCCGCCAGAGAGTAGAAGAGCTGGAGTGTCCGGCACACACTGGCCGCTGAGGTGGGCACACTGGCACAGGCCACTGGAGCAAAGCTAACGCGGGGCACTCTCTACAACCACAGCTATCATAAACCCAGAGAGTCTCCCAGTAACCTACGGAAATGGGAATTCAGGCGCTTTTTATTCTTATTATTTAGGCTACCGGGAGGAATAGGGGCATGAGAATTAATACCATCAGACTTTGTATTCAATGACTTCTATCAACAGACACATTCACAAATGATCACGTCTTACAGATGTGAAGTGGGGCTGAGAAGCCTCACAGCTCCCAGACAGAAGGTCCCAGGACCTCCTGAGCCCGCACTCCTCGCACCTGCCGCAGGACCAACCGGACTGTGTTGGTTTATTAGACAGGAGGGATTCCGCCCTGAGGGAAGAAACAGGCGTTCCAGAGTCACTCCCTGTGGCTTTGACCGCATGGAGCCTGGACTGTCCCTTTCTTCATCTGAGATTCTAACACTAAGAAAAACCTGTCTGAGTTCAGGATTTTCTCTGTGCAGCCCGCAGAGAAATGTGCCTCAGTTACCACATGGCTGGGATAAAGGAGCTTAACTGAAATCTCTCAGTTGCAAATTGGTCAAGAGTGAGAGGCAAGGACAAAAGCTAAGAGAGAAGGTTAGAATGTACTTCAGCCTTAACTTTCTCCAGTAACTACTGAGTGTCTGTATCTGCAAAGCACCATGCCAGACAAAAAGAAAATGTGTAAACCAAGGTCACCACCATTTAATTCCAAAGTATAGAAGGTTGTTCTTGTTAAGAGGAAACAGGAGAATTTTAAATATAGATATACTCGCTCAAAAGTGCATCCAGACACACATATTATTCTGTAGAACCTAATAGGCGCATTGGGAGAAGAAATAGCAAACCAGAAAAGGAACCAACCAAACCAACGTCTGCTGCGCCTCAGCTTCTAAGCAGGAACATTGAGATTGTATGTTATTTTATTTCAGGGCAAAACTTAAAGATAGCATTCCTGGTTTTGATTACACATAATGTGTGCCCTGTGGAAGACAGAGATAATACTTTCCACTGAATAACTTCCGATGGACAGAACCAAAATTACACTCAGATAGGACAGACTCAAAAAACCACATATGGAAAAAGTGGGTATCGTGACCTCTGAGAGTGAACTTTGTAATGTCATAACCGTCCCGATTCTCTGAGCCCCGAGACTCTCAGTGGGCTGGATTGCTACTTGGTTTAAGGTGACTTCACCACAGACAGGAAACACTTGGCTCCCTCCAGGAGTGGGCAGGTGGGCTCGGGGGGGTCGGATTACTCAGCTGAGCAGCCAAGGTCACAGGTTCAATGGGCACACAGGCGGTCTGGCTTTGCAGAGGGAGCTCTCCCTCCCCACGAGTCCTGCCCTTCACCTCAGTCCACACACTGCTGCGGAAATTAAAGTCCAGCCACAGATTGGGGGAATATATGTACAAAACACATTTGATAAAGGACTTGTATTCAGAAAATACAATGAACTCTCAAAACTCAATAAGCACGAATAATCCAATAAAAATATGAGCAAAAGATCCAACAAGACATTTCACCAAAGAAGATACACTGATGGCACATAAGCATATTAAAAAATGTTCAGCACTGTTAGTTATTAGGGAAATGCAAATTAAAACACAACTGCATACACTACACCCCTATTAAAATGGCTCAAATAGAAAGAACAAAACAAAAGTGACAATACCGAGGCTGGAGAGAAGGCTATGACCAAGCAATCCACTCCTAGGTATTTACCCGAGGGAAATGAAAACATATGTCCACGCAAACATATGTCCATATGTCTCCGAATGCACAGAACAGATTTTTTAAAATAATTGCCCCAAAGTGGAAACAGCTCAAATGTTCTTCAAGCGGTGAATGGGCTGACTGTGGTCCATCCACACAACACAATGCCGCCAGCAGCAGCAAAGAACCAACGACCGACACCAGCCACAAACACGGACGACTCTCCAACGCAGCTGAGTGAAAGAAACCACACTCAGAAGTCTGCAAACGAGATGCTTCCACGTTATGACATTCTGAAAAAGGACAGGAAACGGATCAGCAGCTGCCAGGGCCTGGGGCAGAGGCAGAGGCAGAGGCAGAGGCAGACGGGAGAGAAAGAGCAGAGGGAACATGGTGGGGGCTGGGGGGTTAGAGTCATGCTCTAATACCTGCAGATCTTGATTGTGGTGATGGTTATGTGCCTGTCAGCATTTGTCAAAACTCACCAACAGTATGCCAAACAGGGTGAATTTTATGGCATTTAATTTCTATCTCTAGAAAGATCGAGGCTTCGTTATTTGCACATCCACGTTCACGGCAGCATTATTCACACTAGCCAAAAGGTGGAAGCCGCCCACGTGTTCATCGACAGATAAATGGGAAAACAAAATGTGGTCCATCCATCCAATGGAATATTATGCAGCCTTAAAAAGGAAAGAAATTCTGACACAAGCCACATTACAGATGAACCTTGAGCACATGGAACTAAGTGGAATAAGCACTTACAGAAGGACATGGCCTGTAGGACTCCACTTCGATGAGGTCCCTAGAGGAGTCAGATTCATGAGACGGGAAGCAGAATGGGGGTGCCAGGGGTTGGGGGAGGAGGGAATGGGGAGTCGGTGTTTAAAGGGGACAGAGCTTCACTCTCACAAGATGAAAGGAGTTCTGGAGACTGACAGCAGTGATGACAGTACAACGTAAATGTACTTAATGCACTGAACTGTACGCTGTGACATGGTTAATATGGTGTATTTTATATTATGTATATTTTTATATTATGTACTTTTTAAAAATGTTTCAAATGAAGGCAAAATAAAGACATTTTCAGAAAATCTTTTTTAAGAATCTCAGAAATCTGCAGGTCTGGCCTCCTCATTTTAAAGATGGGGAAACTGAGGCTCATCAAGAGGGAGTACTTGCTCAAGATCATGGGGCTAAGCAAAGGCAGAGCTTGAATGAGAAAGTGGGTTTCTTGCCTCATTTTATCCAAAGTTCTTTTCATTGGACACCAGGTCCCTAAGCAACACACCAGTGGTTCACCAATGCAAATTTGTCTCAGTGATACATCAGTGAAGAAATAACCAGCTGGTCGTCATAAGTTCGAAACATATGCAGGGCAGAAAAAGACAACAGATGGCAACCTCGGCCAAGGTCTGGCAGGATGGAAAAGGAAGACCTGCAAGGTTGATGTTAACCAAAGGGTTTTCCAGGCACTCCCATCGGTGTCCTCAGCAATGGTGATGATATCTACACATCTGAATCACCCAGCACATTTTTCATGCAATCAGACTTTACAGATCTGGCTGTGGGTTTTTTTTTTTAAGTGTATATATCTTTGGCACTAGCGGAACTCACCTTGCTCCTTTCCATTACATGTGGTAATTCCATTTTCCACCACGCCCTCCCCATCTGAGCTGGGTCTCTCTGAAGACAGTTTCTGTAAGGAGAAAAAGGATTAAGTTATTCTTACAGTGGTCACTTGGACCAAGTGATGTGTGACGGATCAACCAAAAGTTATCTTGAAAGTGAAAGAAAACATGGGCTGAATTCATAGCAATCCAGAAGTAGTTAGAGCTTAACTATAACAAAGACTGGCTGGTTAGGTGGCTACAGCCGCTTTAAAAACATCCAGAGTGGGGAGGGAGGGTCGGGGGAAACCTCACTGAGGCTATAATTATACTAACCTATATATATACTGTCTCATGCCTATTTCATTCAAATCACTTCTTGTAAATGATTTTGAAAAAATATTATGATTCCAAAAATATTTCCCTCACCAAGCCATATTATCCTTGCAGAAGGAAATATTCCATAGTCCATTTAATTTCTTCCTGTCATTCACCAATAATTAATTGGGTGAGTGTCTAGTAGGTGCTTGTAACAAATACACTCAGAATGTACACAGAGTGAAGGCAAAGTTACTATCAAAACCCTTGGAGGGGGATGGGGTGCTGTCACTATCTCAGTCCTAACCTCTGGCTTTAATGAGCATGATTAGGATTCCACGTTAGTATCTGAATGAGGTAGAGTGTTTACAGCCAGACCCCTTCCACTGCCACCCAAGAACCTGTGGGGTCACAGTGGAGGGAGTGGCGTCCAAACACTGTCCTCATATCCTGTGCCTTCCACCAGGGCCTGGGAGACTGGGACACATTTGAGATGTGTGGGCAGTTCCCAGGCACAAAGGAACACATGTGTTCAACCTGGAATTCGAGGGGCAATCCCCTAAGAGCTGCAGTGAAGGAATGAGTGCCACTTAGTGGGAAGCTGAGTTCCAGGGATACAATGACCTAGAGCTGGTACCGCCCTGGCTCTCACACCAGGAACAGCCCAGGGAATCCAGGGCAACAGGTCCAGCCGAGTGCTCACGGTACTGCCTTAAAAACCAACATAAGTAAAGCGAAATTGCCAATTCTGGTGTGAGTGCGTGGATGAGGAACTTGGATGCAGTCTGACGGGAAATGAAATCGCATCAACCTTTTGGGAAAGCAATTTGATTTTCAATATGAATCAAAATCTTAAAAAAGAAAAAGAGGTCTATCCTTTGGTCTAGTAATTCAGCTTCCAGAAATCTATTCTCAGGTAACAGGCAGAGAATAAGCAAAAATTATGCAAAATACGTCAAGTACTATTTTATTTTAGATGGCCTAAAAAAGGGCAAAACGGGACAGGTGCGGTGGCTCACGCCTGTAATCCCAGCACTTTGGGAGGCCGAGGTGGGTGGATCATGAGGTCAGGAACTCGAGACCAGCCTGACAAACACGGTGAAACCCCATCTCTACTAAAAATACAAAAATTAGCTGGGCTTGGTGGTGTTTGCCTGTAATCCCAGCTACTCAGGAGGCTGAGAGAGGAGAATCGCTTGAACCCAGGAGGTGGAGGTTGCAGTGATCCAGGATCGCACCATTGCACTCCAGCCTGGGCAACAAGAGCAAAACTCCATTTCACAAAATTAAAAAAAAAAAAAGACAAAACAAGTACTGGGGGGGCAGTTACCTAAGTGATAGCGGAGTCATACAAATTTGACATTAAAGCTAATGATAATGTGAAAATGTAAAAACGCTTGTGGCTTAAGAGTTGTTAAAAACCTGGAAATTTGCTAATAATATAAAGGTTCAGTGAAAAAAAAGCAGTATAAGAAATTTTATGCATAAGCTTATCCAAGCCGTAAGAGAAACCCTTGAACTCAGGAAAGAGTGTTTAATATATCAGTAGTGTTAAGAGGAGCTGCATCCTCTATGTGCGATCATAATGAGTGACTTCTTTCATCCCATTTATGTTTCTTTGAGCTTTCTGAACTTTCTAAAGTGAGCAGATATTGGTTTTATAGTCAGGGAAAAAACAGCCTGTTCCATTACGGTGTAAGGATGAGGACTGTGATGTTTAATTTTATGTGTCAATGTGGGGGGCATTTGGGGATTAACGTTTAAATTAGGGAGCTCTGAGGAAGCAGCCTGCCCTCTGTAATGTGGGTGGGCCTCATCCAATCAGTTGGGGCCCTCGATGGAACAAAAACACTGTCCTCCCTGAGCCAGTGAAATCTCCCTAAATTCCTGTGGACACCTTCACACTTCACCTGCACCATCGGCTCTCCTGGGTCTCCACCTGCGGGCCACACTGCAGGTTTCAGACTTGCAGCCTCCATCATTACGTGAACCAATGCCTTCTAAGAAATATGCTTCTACGTACATACATCCCATTAATTCTGTTCCTCTGGAGAATCCTGACTCATATGAGGACAGGCAAGAAGGGATCTGTCTCTTCACTGGCAGGAGGCTAGAGAGGGAGGGCTCAGAAAGCCCCGGGAACACAAGCTGCCAGCAGAAGGTTTCATGGCAGGAAGTCAGGGTTCTCCAAGGAAACGATATCAGTTAGATTCAGACAAACAAAATGCAAGCAGAGCAGGGCCTGTGGCGTAACAGTGATGGGCTCCATACATTTCTGGCAAAAAGAGGTGTACAGATGACAGGTCATCCCCGCCCACTGTGGTGCTCCTCTGCCTTCCAACAAGCAACAAGAGTGCAAAGCAAAGGGAGATGGAGACACATCCTGGTCTGCTGGGAAGAGACCTTTGTGAGGGTACATTTATGAAGCACCTGCTGTATTCCAGAAGTAGACAGGCATGCCTTCAGACTTCAGCTCTGCCATTTACTAGCTATGCGACTTTGAACAAGGCCCTCACGCCTTTAAATCCGTTTTTTCACCTGTAGCTGCAAATAACAATACTAACTACACAGTCTGTAAAATGACTAATTCAAGCTTAGCACAAAGCAGGCAGTTAAGAAGATGGGAAGCATAATTGAATTTTTCTTTCTTTCTTTTTTTTTTAAGTGGAAGTGCTGAAATTCTCAGAGAATGTTATCAAACTCTGAAGGAGACCCCAATCCACTGCGAGGTCACTGTCCCCACCCAGCAAGAGCAACGCCCTTACCTTCTCCAGTTCCGCCTTGTGCACCGGGGAGCTCGGTGGAGGAGGACACTCTGAATCTGCGGGGCCACTACAACCACTATAGGCTTCTTTGATCACCTATAAAAAGCAGAGACACTTTGTGAGTATGACCGAGGGCAGAGACACTTAAAAACTTGAACTGTGAGTTGTACAGACAGAGCCACAGGGCACGGTAGGGAAATTGATGGACTCAAAGCACCCGGCTCTGAGTTCCAGGATGTCAGGTATGCATTTGTTCAGTTACCCACGCATTAATTCACCCAAAGTCTATCAACGCTGGCACCAACACAGGGCGTGGAACATGCATCTACGTTTCCTGCTGGTGTGGAGTTTCATTCCATGTAATTTATTTATCACCATGAAAAATAAGGGTCACCAAAAGAATGACGGCAACATGAGGCAGCAGTGAGTGCCACCAAGAATAAAAGATGGTGGGTGGTTACTTTAGATCAAGAGACCCGGGGGCCTTATGCAATGACGTTGAAGGGTCCAGCCTGTGAACAAGCGGCGGGAAAGGGCTCTGGGCAGCAGAATAGCTGGTGAAAAAGCCCTGCGGTGGATGTGAAGAGTTTGGGAATAACCCGGAGTGCAAACTGGCAGGAGGAGAGAGAGAGAACGTGGTAGGAGATGAGGCGGGAGGCCAGTAGGAGCCTTCAGGCCCAGGAGAAGACAGGCCCTGGGAGCATTTCAAGGAAAGGAGGGACCGGCTTCAAGAGCACTGACTAGGACCTGCCGCCTGGGATTCATCCTGGCTTTAACCTTGGACAAATCAATTAACTGCTCTGTGCTTCAGCTTCCTCATCTGAAAAGTGCAGGTGCAACAGTGCCTACCTTCTGAAGGTTAAATGCACCAAGACGGGGCCTAAAGCATAACCAGCACTCAATTGTTAAAAGGCTGTAGAAAGCACTCTAGTTGCTATGAGAAGAAATAATTATACAGGAACAACAACAAAAAAGCATAGGGAAATCCGTGAGAGGCCGTTGCTGTAGCTGTGCAGGCGGCAGCAGGGGCTGGAGTGACCACAGTGAAGACGGAAGGAAGGAAAGGGAGTCAGGAGGTACCCGAGGGAGAATCGCCAGGCCCAGCTGGATCGGACACGGGGCTTGAAGGAAAGAGCTGACTCCAAGGTGACTTCTGGATTCTTAGCAACCGGGTGGTACTATTTACTCAGAGGAAGACTGGACAGAGAAATAGGCTGGGTGGAAAGAAGCCAGTCTGAAGTCAATAGCAAACTTCTAGTGAGAGCTAGAAAACTGGGAGCCACTGGCAAAAAGATGATGCTCACAGCCTTGGACTGGATGAGTTCACCAGGGAAGATGGCAAGCCAGAGAAGAACAGAGATCAGGGAGAAGGACCCGGAGCCTGGCGGCGTTAAGGAGTAGAGTTAAAGGAGAGAAGCTGGTAAAAGATGCTGAGCTGGAAGGCATGGAAAAGCAGGCAGAAAACCAGGAGAGCACAGTCTCCAAGGAGAGGGAGAAGACGGCTCCATGAAGGGAGATGAGCCCAGAGAGAGAGAGAGACAGAGAGACAGACAGACAGAGACAGCTGTGACTCCCTAAGGGAAGCAGAGAGACTGGGAGAGACTGGGAGTGGGGAACCGGGTGGAGGAGGAGATGAGCAAAGGAAGGCGTTTCCAAAGTGTTCCTTCTCCTGCTGAAGGATGCTTCCATTTTAACAAAAGGCAGAGTGAGGATGTGGAGGGAAGAGAGAGAAGGCAGAGAGGCCAGCACAGCCTGTCTGAGAGAATCCACTTTCTCAGTAAGACTATCTGTTACCAGGCCAGGCGCACACTGGCTCACGCCTGTAATCCCAACACTTTGGGAGACTGAGGTGGGCGGATCACCTGAGGTCGGGAGTTTGAGACCAGTCTGACCAACATGGAGAAGCCCTGTCTCTACCAAAAATACAAAATTAGCCAGGTGTGGTAGTGCAAGCCTGTAATCTCAGCAACTCAGGAGGCTGAGGCAGGAGAATCGCTTGAACCCGAGAGGCGGAGGTTGTGGTGAGCCAAGATCGCACCATTGCACTGCAGCCTGGGCGACAAGAGCGAAACGCCATCTCCAAAAATATATATATATATCTGTTATCAGTTGTGTGGCCTTGGGGAAAAGTATTTAATCTCTCGGAGCTTTTTTCCTCCCTAGCAAGGGAATGAGTGTCAAGATTACCTGTCTTGCAGGACTATGGTTCAACTGAGACAGTGAGATCTGCTATGGAAGAAGTCTAAGCCAGCATGTGGCATGTGTACGTTCAAACCATGAAAGCAACACCGTCATTACTGTGAGCGTTTTGATGACCTACGATAAGAGCTCAGAAAATGATTCTGGACTAGACTTTCAGATGCGGGGATAGTGAGCCTGCAGTTCAGAATTCCATGCACGAGGGCTTTCCCAGCTGTCCCCTGCGTGCAGTCACTACGTGTTTCTCCAACTCCTACTGAGCTCCTCAGCGTCCAGGCCCACTGTGGTCAGGGGGGATGTGCAGCAAATCAGACAGACAAGGCTCCAGCGCTTGCGAAACTTACATTCTTAAAACTGAAAAGTTAGCAGGCAGATTTTTCAAAATGTCTTCTATTCTTTCTAGGACTAAGCTGCAATTTCAGTTAAACCAAAGCTGCTTCTGGGCAAAGAAGAAACACCAAAGTCCCAGATATGTGTGTAGTCATTTTGCAATTGGGCCCCCACAGACAGATCCAAATTCCCTCAGCTTGTGCTGGCGCTGGGATGAAATCCAAGGCCTGACAAGAGACCAGGATAGTGTTTCCAGCCATTTTGCTCCTCAGCGGTTTTATACAACAGAGTGGTGTCCACAGTTGAGACTACAAAAGAGAAAAAGAAACGAAAGAAGAAACCCAGAGAGCTCGCTGTCAGGTCTCCTCTCTGCTAATGCCGAGGTGTGAAGCACTGAGCAAGCCTGAGCCTCGGTGCGGTGATGTGTGTGTCGGATCTCTCTTGTTTCTCTCGCTTTCATGCTGATTGCTTTTTTGGGCTTTACTCCCTCATCTACCCTAAGGTGATTATTAGGTCTCCAAATGACAAGGCAAATTTTTATTTGATTTGAGAAGAAGACTTTTTCTTTTCCCCAGGGAAGGCAGGTTCATACAATGGAAAACTCCTAGGCTTCTGCGTCAAACCCACCTGGGTTCAAACCCCAGGTGGACCACTTGCTGTTTATGTGAAGCTGAGCAATTTATTCTCAGAGCTTTCCTTCCTTCCTCAATAACGCGCACAGAATAATACCTCAGGGGCTCACTGTGAAAACTAAACGTTAAAACAAATGTGAAGTATCCAGCCCAGCATCTCTCCCCTAACAGGCACTACGGAAACCTGAACTCTTCCCACGATTCTATTTAATAGTGTTAAATCAACGAAAATGTGCTTCAATTATACAAACGCACCTGAACTCGACATGTTCTTCATTTTACACTAAAAGGCTGTACCCTATAAAACATAACCTGCCAAAACCCATGATCTCTGGCAAATGTTTTTATTTAAAAAAAAAAACGGTTGTCTTCTCTTTTTTTCAGCAGGGGAAGGATCTACAAACTTCTTTGGCAGCACTACTCCAATTATTCCCTGCAGCCTCTCGGGTGGGGCGGAGAGGCTGGCTGTGTGAATGGTGTCTTCTGGAGGAGTTGTGCTTTTTTTTATACAGCTAAATAGAACTCATCTTTCAAGATTCAGCTGAGGTCTCAGGAAGCCTGCGCTGGCCCTTCTGTGTGGTCCATGAGGCACGGCTCCGGCTCCACACATGCCCACAGAGGTCTGTGTCTCCTACTAAGCTATGCTTGTGTTCATAGGAGGGGCTGGGCCTTGCTTTTGTCGCTGTTCCCAATGCCTCCTTCAAAATAGCAACCAAAAGTTTGATTAAAGGGAAAACAATGAGGGAATGAAGAAAGAAATTGGAATTAAGATTTCTATGAAGAAAAAAAAAAAAAGAAGGAAAGAAAAACAGAAGGAAAGAAACTTAGGCCATTACTAAAATAAGTAGCCTCATGACCAAGCTTCCCCAGTCCTCGGCATTGGCTTCTAAAATCCTCAAGAGGAAAAAGTGTTGTGTTTTTTAAAGGCAAGTAGATAAAAGCCATCTGGCACATATACACTTCCCCACTCAGCCCTACCCTAACACACACACCCTGGCTAAGCTCCTGGCAGACTCGCCTGGTCCCTGGAGTGTCCCCATCCCTCTCCTGCTCCCATCAGCTCCCACTTTCTAGCAGACAGACGAGGCTGCCTAGCATCAAAGCAACTCACGTAATCGCCTTTCCAAGAAGCCTTTCCTGGTCCACCCAACCATACTCTGAATGCTCAGAATGGGGAAACAGACAAACGATCCACGTTTGCTCTCTGATCATTAATTTCTCTCCCAGCTAGAACTCACACTGCCCCGGGAAAATAACAGCATCTCCAGCCGCGCTTGGGAGGATCGCATTCAGCAACCCAGAGCAGGCCCAGGATCAACCCGGGCCCAGCAAGCGGGTCGCTCATGGCATCCCAGCTTCATGGGACTATCTTCCCCTAAGCATAATAACTATGTCCAAGGTACGAAAAAAGACATTGCTAAAAACATCCATCAGCATAAACCAGTCTTTATTCCCACGAATTTTTTTCAACCAGTTGGAGAGGTCAGGTTCTTTTCATGAAACTGTCTTTCTACTTTGGATCTCTGTTGATTGCCAAGTTACACCTGCAGAGTTAAGTCAGAAGTAACAAGCAAAGCACTGATCAATCCAATTCTTTGAACAGCTATAAATGAGGTTTCTATTAATACATTTCAACTTGAAGAGTCATGTCCTATGAGAGGTTCAATGTGTATTTAAGAGAACTAGATCCAAATTCAGAATCGCAAATCCTCCAAAAAAACAAATTGTTATAAATTTTGTGGTATTTTGTTTGCTTTTAACTTGAGCCCTCAACTCCAGAAACACAATCTCTGCACATTTTTTAAGGAAATCTGACCACTCCGTTTCTGGGAATATTGGCTCCTGTCTTCTGTTTGACCCCTACACAAAGGCTCATGTTGTCAGCATTTGTGTACACACACACACACACACACACACACACACAGAGAGAGAGAG